TGAGGCCTCCGTTCAGATGTGCGACACACAGGTGCATGCTTACACACGCACAGACACATTCATGGACACATGCTTACACATGCTCATGCCCCCCCTCCCCACATCCACTCACACACACATGCTTACACACACACGCCCACCAACCAGGTCTGTGCCGAGGACAGTCATGTGAGCGAAGGCTGGTGTGCGAAGGAAGGTGAGCCCGTGAAAGAATGCTCCACAGGAGACCAAAGGAAAGTGATCTGAAGTGTGAAGTTAGACGTTTTTAAATTGGACACTAAGGACAGGTCATTTCATTTTGCTTTTTAAAGAAAAGAAGAAATCAGAAGAAACAGTGACTGTGTATTTATTCCCAGAGCGGATCAGGGAAGAATCAGAATATCCTGTGTCTGACTCTCTCTCCCTGTTGGCCCTGTTGGCCCTGAGGCTCCCCCACAGACAGGTGTGTGATGGGGCATCTTCTGCCTGTCCCTGTTCTGAAATCAGGGCCTCGAGGCAGCAGTCACCGTGGCTACTCCCTCTGCTCACAGTGCAGCACAAATCTCTGCGGCTCCAGCCTCTGCAGTTAATTCTTGCCTCTCTTAACTCTCCCGACCCGGGAGTGCAGGAAACTGCACAACAAGACCAGGCCAGGGAGGGCCTCCCCCAAAGGCCCACACATATGCTGGGGTCGGCGGGCGCTTGCACAGTGGCCACAAGGCAACACTCCATTTGCATAAATGCAGCCACAGCCTGGTGCGTCACCTTCTGGCGATGTGGTCCTGGAGCCGGTCCTGGGAAAAGCCCACGGCAGTCTCAGCAGATGCTTCCACAGCCAGTGTCTGCTCTGCACTGCTTCCTGGTCACGGCCTGGCCCAGCACGGGTGGCTGAAGCATGGACCAGCACTGCCACGGCACATGGGCTGGTTACCGCTGGGGCTGGGGAAGGCTCAGGGCCAGCATCTCCAGCTGTGTCTCACCTCACCATCCCCCTGTCCGCCTCTGTGGACAGCTTCACTCGGAGGTCCTGGGAGCTCACAGCGTGTGGCATTGGAACCCAGGGGATGGAGTGCAGGCTCTGAGGGCCACTTCTAGGGCTAATCTCACCATTGTCTCGCAAGTTTCTAACTTGGGGATCCTAAGCTGCCAGCAAGGCTACTCTGCAGTGAGGAAACTGAGGACCAGGGGCTGGGCAAAGGCAGGCAGGATGCCAGTCCCCACCCTGTGCCTCCCTCCTCCCCCAGGCTGGACCTTTAGGGGAAACCCCAAGGCAAGAGTAACCTGTGGAAAAGTGTCTGAAGACAACTGAACGTGCAGTGTTTCTTGACAATAAGCTGATCACAAACCACAGCCCTCGTGTTCCAGCGCTGGCGAGGTTTCCTTCCGTGGCCACATTTCCCCCCAGGCCTGGCGGCACTGCCATGGGGGCATGGCGTGGGCTCCTGGTCAGGCTGCTTTTCTCCTGCCCCTGGGCAGCCCCGTTCCCCTCGTCACAGACACTGGAATCGGCAGGGCCTCGGCCACATGCACGCTGGCAAAGGCTGCCCACGCCACAGCCCACAGAGGCAGATGTCACCTGGGCCTGGCATGGGTGCAGGCCCTTCTCAGCCCTTCCTTGCCTGCTGGACCCGGGAGAGAGGTGCCGGCACCAGGACAGGTGTCCTGTCCCAGAGCACTGTCTTCAGGCAAGAACAGCTCCACACGAAGGTTCCAGCCTCCGACGAGGGCCAGCTGCCGGAGCACCCTGGGAAATGGGGTCTGAGCAAAAGAAACGTGAGTCTGTCCTCCGACCCCGTGGCAGCCCGTGCTTTCTCCCACGGTGCCGCCTCAGAACTGGACCCCCCACGGCCCCCTGCGGTAGCCCTGGCCACGGAGCACCAACCCCACCCCCTCAGGCTGGTGGAGGTGAGCTACTTGATAGGAAACCCTTGGCCCACTTGAGGAAAATGTCAGAACGCTCTGCTCACCCTGATAGCAGCAGCTTCTTTTTGGGTTTTCGGAATGAAATCAAGTGCACACAGCTGCTCCCCGTCAGTGGCCCTCCCCATCCCCGCCCACCCAAGCTCAAGGGAGAGCCCCACACCCTGGGGCCGACTCCCCACACGCCCAGGCCGGAAGTCTGTCCACAGCTCCGCAGTCCCGCTGGCCACACAGGCGCTGCAGTTGCCCTGCATCCCCTGCCCGTCCCCAGGCTGCGTCAGGCTCACACACAAGCCAGGAAAACATTGCTCTCCAGTCAAAGTAGAGCTTTGAAAACCCACCCACCGCTCTCTGTCAGAGAAGGAGGAAGAAGGGCTAAGTCATGCAGACTCAGTATTCACCATTCTGCCCCTTTAATCGCCTGGTGAGTGCATCATTGCGTCTGTGTGTAGCTTCTCAACTCCAACTTCACTGCACAAAACCGACACACATGCATGTCCCTCCACCGGGTTCTGAGTATTGTGAATACGTAGGCAGTGTGTGTCTGTGCTGCACGTTCTTATGTAATGCCAGTCAGCTTCTAACCATGGCCACTTAGAAATTAAATATCTATCTGTGAACAAAAGAAACTGCACAGCAGGCACCCAGGACCGTCATCCCTGGCTAGGCTCTCTCTCCAGTAGCTCCTCCTCCGGGCAGCTCACCAAGCAGAGTTGGGCCCGGGATCATTGGGAAGCAGGGACCCAGGCAGATTCTAACCATGGCCACTTAGAAATTAAATATCTATCTGTGAACAAAAGAAACTGCACAGCAGGCACCTGGGAGACGGGATGCGTTCCGAGGGGAGGACACTGGGAGACGGGATGCGTTCCGAGGGGAGGACACCGGGAGACGGGATGCGTTCCGAGGGGAGGCCAGTGCGACGGTGTCTGAACATCAGCAGAGAACAGAAGGAGTGCGTTTGAGAACACTGATTATACCGGAATACTTATTTATTTCTATTTAACACAACTGGGCAGTAGTCAGGAATAGAGTTAGCTTTACCAAAACTGAAGTTCAAATTACATAATTTTAAAATATTATAGTAAGATATATATTTATACTGGAGTATTTTTACACCTTTAATATTCTCGGGCTTGAGTTTTGAGACAGATGAAAATTACAGCAGATGCTGACCCGTCGGGGAAAGGTCGCGGAGGCCTTCCACTGGCATGGCTCGCTGCCTGTCTGTGCTCCTCGCCGCTGTGTCCCAGTGGCTGAGAGCTCCGGGCAGGCCAGTGGCCGTTTGACCATCTGAGTGGACAGACGATGGCAGCAGGCAGAGGCTCACCAACCCCCTGGGCCAGTACAATCGCCTATTTCTGTGAATAGTTTTAATGGGACGGGCCACACCCGTGTGCTTATATACTGTCTGTGGCTGCTTTTGCAGCGACATTGGCACTGGGGAGTTGACACAGATGCCATGACCCATGAAACCTAAAATATTCACCATCTGGCCCTTGACAGGTGAGCCCTTGAGGACCCACTTGTGCTCATTCCCTTCTGGGTATTTATACACAAGCTGGCTACTCCCTGTCCGGCAGCACACACCATATGGGGGCACCCTGTTGTCACCTATACAGTACAGGTTGACAATTTAGCTGTACTGTGAAATAATTACCCTGAGTAGTTTCCTTCCACTGAATTACCACTGAACATTCTATGAAATCTGGTGGTCCAGGGGCCTGGCCTTTGTCTGTGGGCACCTGGAGAGCGTGGCCGGGTGGTGGCGTGCCAGGCAGTGGTCACTGTGTTTGGAGATGCTTTAGTTAACTCTCTCTTCCTTTAGACTTTTGAAAAACCAAACCAAGCCAAACAAAGGAAACCTGCACAACTTAAAATAAACTTGAAAGTGATCATATACTACTAGTTTGTACTAAGTTTTTTCAGGAAAGGGAAATAAAATTTATATATACATGCAATATATTTTTACACCATGATTGTTAGGGAGTACTGAGTGTATCACTGTATCAGAGTGATGGGTACAGTAACGTCAATGTCATGGGTGTTCTGCCTCAGAAAGTCTAAATGGCATTGAGCAGGAACATCCGTGGGGTCGGGAGGGCCCTGCTCCCCCTCCCTCGGAGTGCGAGGCTCGGGGTCAGCTCTGGGGGTGCTGTCAAGGCCTGGCCTGCAAACCTTTAGTGAAACAGCTAATGTCTGTCTGCACATTGCTCCTCATGTGTTTGCTGTTGTTAACATTGTTGTCAAAAGTGATAAATAAAGTGTTAAATGGTGGATCTCTTATCCTCAAAGTGTATGGTCTGGACTGGCAATAACATGGGCACCGACATCTAACATGGCACAGGCCCTGGGAGGGGTCCTGGGAGGGGGTGTAGAGCCATGACTTCCAGGGCAGAGAGCCTCCTGTCCCTCACCCAAGAGAGAGCCTTTCACTCCTCACTTAGGTGACCACTGACTCAACCCTGTGCTATGTCAGAGATTTTTAGATTAGCAGATTTTGTAATTAACCACATTAACAATAAATAAGCTTAAAAATGATCCGATGACAAGGAATTCCACCCACATACTTTTGGTATAACACATTTTCCGGCTAAGTATAAAAACTGGTGCTTCTGGACACAACCGTGACCAGAAAGGTGAATGGAAGGACACCTGAAGCCCAGAGACCCCTCTATGGGGGAGACTCGATGCCCCCGATTTCCCCAGAGTCCTGACCCACACAGCTACACACAGCATCTTCTCCGAGGCCCGTTCTTCTTCCTCAATCAATTAAACATTGTTCTAAAAAATTACTGTGTTTTATCAAAGAAAGCGAATATTACATAAGATATAAAAAACCTAAAAAATCTAATTTTATGCCTTGTTATAACATAATTTTCAGAAATACACTGTAAGCAAGAGAGCCAGAGCATGGGTAGATATTTGTACTGTAGGATGTTAATATCACAAAACTTTTTTTTTTTTTATGTTTCCCACACTATAAATATTACTTTTATTAAGTCCTGGAACTTACTTTTTTCTGCTCACCAACCATGGTACATAGCTTGTTTTATAAAAGAATTCAATGATAAAATCAGTTATAATTTATGAAGAGCCACTTTTTAGAACAATGTATTCATTTATTAAATAAGAACTGCTTATTATACAATAAATTATTTTCTTTAATCATCATACATAGTTCTCTTTTACATTAGGCAGAAAAACACAAGATTTTTTTTTATCTTAAGACATTTGATGAAAAATTAACAAACAGTTTGTCTTAAAATATGTCAGTATTTTGTCTCAAAACATGTGAAGGGCCTGGATTAATCCTGTCTTTTTAGAACGTCTTAGCAAACTGAACTGTGGGCCCTGATTACATTTCAGAAATCACAAGATAACTGCAAACAGAAGAAACAACTCTCATCAACTACTACATCAGGTAAAGAAAACGCATGTGCTCGCCACACAACTAGGACGGTCAGGTTTAGGAGCAGCCACTGAGGCGGGTGCTGCCGACTGGGAACAGGGCCATGGTCTTCTTGAGCTCCTTGTAGCTCCAGTGTAGCTGCTCCACCTCGGCCCTGTGCTGAGCCCGCACCTGGCCCAGCTCCTGCAGGAGGTGCTCATTGGTGCTGACCAGGGAACTGGAGAGAACACAGGGCAGCCATGTCCTGGCTCTGCTGTCCTCTCCAGCAGCACTCTCTCTCACCTGGCCAAGCCTGCCTGTTGACCCCACATGCCCCAGCCATGCCCAGGCCCACGAACTTGTCCCCTCCTGATCTCTCCTGGCGACTACCCATCTGCTCCTTGCCTCCAGACCTGGGGCGGCGGGCAAGTCTGACTCAACCCCTCAGCCATCACCTGCCCTGCAAGCACTGGCGGCATCCATGAAATGGATCCAACTCAGCATGGATAGATGGATCCCTCAATGCTCTGGCCATGCATGGTTTACTGAAAAGACTTGTCATAGTCTATGGCCAGCAAAACAATGTTCTAATTCTAGAAAAGACTCCACACTGAAGTATTTCTAATTCCCAGTCAAATATAAAGGACCCTTTAAAAAATCCTGACATTGTATCAGTGTAATAGTACAATTGAAAAGTCCTCATTTTTAAATATTGTTAACCATTTTTAATTATAGAGGGGACTTCAGAAAGAAAGTGGTGTTGTATTTTGCCAAAGTGCACTACTCACTTGGTCAGCAATGTCTCAAGCACATTTGTGGCATCACCAGAAATGGGCGAAAGCAGGGCCATTTTCTCCACACAGGTCTCCCCACTGACAACCCCCCATGCAGGTGGCAGCCCTGTTTGCTTGGACCACAGAAACAGCCACTGGCCAGGCGGAGGCTCAGAGTGGACACCTCCTGGTGAACCCCACTCCACTGCACTTAGAGGTTCTGCACCCTGCCTTGTCCACAGTAATCCCACGGTGCCAATACCTTGTGACCTGCCACAGATGGGCCATAGGGCTCCAGGGAGTGATCTTGCCTTGCCTGCCACTTCCCGGTACCGTGACTGTGTCTCATTTCCTTCCTTCTGCTGCTCCATCTAGTCTCAGTTTAGTCCCACCTCTCAGGGAACACAGACCCGCATCATCACTCACCATCACTCACATGCCCCTCACCTCTCAGAATACTGCAGCAGAAAGAAAAGCTCATGGAAGTGCCAAGTCAGCACAGCAACACATGTGGGCCCAGAACACTGGCCACCAGCAGCTGCTGCTCCTGCATCCTCCACTGCTCAGCTCCACAACCCCCACCCCCACCCCGGAACCTGTGGCTCTTCTGCAACATCTGCGTGAGCTCCTGGACCCTCCCTTGCCTCGGCTCCACGCCTCACTCCCCTCCCCGCCCGCACCTGTGGCTCTCCTGCAGCATCTGCGTGAGCTCCTGGACCTTGTCGTAATGTTCAAGGTGCTGCTTCAACTCCACAATTTCACCCGAGAGCCTCTTCACATTCGTTTGAAGCCCTGATAAAGAAAATAGGTAGTACTATTTAGTGAAATTCATTTAGACATTTGGAACATTAAAATAATTCGAGTTTAAACTGGACCTGGGACACAAGAAAAAGAATATAGCTTAGAAAAGATCAATTTTTGTAAGGAACTCAAAGGCAGGGGCGAACACATCCAGCCATGTCTACCCCAGGACCCAGTTCTGGTTCCCTCCTGGGGGCTGAAGCTGCGGGGATCTGCCCTGCAGATATCCCTGAGGAACCCACCCCTGTGTCGAGTGATGACAGAGGTGGGCCTCAGGGCCTCTTTTCCACAGAGCATCAAGCTCTGGCAAGGGGAGGACCTGAGGCTTTCAGGAGAAGCAACTGCCAGCCATTGGTAGCCCAGTGTGGCCACAGGTCTCTGGCCCCATGTCCAGCCATGACAGAGCATGTGCCTGTATTCCATCTATAGGGTGTTGCCTCTTTGGGTTTCCTTCTCAAGGCAGGAGGGTGCGGGGGAGAAATTTACTATTTATTGGCTCCTAAATCCAAACCGAGGATAACCAGGACACAGTAACTCCACATGGAGACATGCCACTGCCAAACCGCATGACTGACACTGAGAAAGCCAGTGCGGGAAGGTAATGGCAAAGGGATGCCAACACTGACAGCGGGTCCTCACAAAGATCACCCCAGCGATGGAGGGCGTCCTCCTGCACGTGGACAAGAAAACCTTACTCAAACCTCCCTGGAGGGCATGCTGAGCCTCTGGGAAGAGGGCAGTGGTGGCATGGGCTAGAGCTCAGTACCCTACACTAGTTGACGCCAAGAGTAACTAGATGACAAGACCAGAACCCCACAGACAGCACTATAGCACCTGGTGACCAGGTGGCCTCAAGACCCCTAACGAGGCAGCCATGGCCCTGCCTGGTATCCACGTCTGTGTGGGTGCACTCAGCAGTGGGGCAGCTGACCTGAGGACGGAGCACCTCCAAGTGTCCCGTTTCCCTGGGAAATCCTCGTAGGCTAACTAGGTAATGGCTGGCATGAGGGGTTCAGCCTCCTCTAATGAGATGAACCCGGGGTGGAGTGGGAGGTGTCCTGTATGGTCTGAAGGGGCTGGAGCAACCCATGACCCCTTGGGGCTGACCTGTCTAGTCCCTCCTAGAACAGGCCCATTCTGTGGAGAAACAGATGATGAGGGGTCCAGGGCAAAGAAGGCCACCATATTTATCTGTGAAGTTAGAGAAGCTGTCTGCCCTGCTCCTTCTAGAAATTCAGAACAGACTTCACTTCACCATGAACAATAGAGACGTACTGAGGTCAAACCCCACAAAAGTTACGGTATGAGCACAACAAAAGCCACACCCAGAACAGATCAAAACCACAATGGTTTCAGAATGAACTAAAGTCACAATCAGACAATGTTAGGAAGGGGGTGGCTGAGCTCAGGCAAGAAGGCAAAATGAAGGCTGAACTAGAAGGAACCCAAGAGCAGTGAACATGCCAATGACATCTCAAAGAAACAGAAGGTACAAAGGGGGAAGTTTTAAAATAAAAATTCGGCCCTAGTCAGTGTGGCTCAGTTAGTTGGGCATCGTCCAGTGCACCAGGAGGCTGCTGGTTAGATTCCTGGTCAAGGGCACATGCCAGGATTGTGGGCTCTATCCCTGGTGGGAGGCGTGCAAGAGGCAGCTGATCCATATTGTGCTCTTGAATTGATGTTTCTCTCCCTTTCCCTTCCTCTCTCTCTACTACTCTTTAAGAAGAATTTTAAAAAGAGAAGACTGTAAACAACTCTGACCACTCAATAAACTAGCCCAGTAAACACAATGGGCAAGGACAGACCGGGGCAACTCTCTGTGGCTGCATTCATGTGACAAAGGCCACAGTAAGTACTTGGGACAGAGGCCACACGTAAGGCCATGAAATAGCTACTATCTGAATCGTTAAATCAAAGCTTTTGGATTCCTGAGAGGTGAGAATGGGAAAAGGTGCTCAACCTGTCCTTCTTCAGTGAAATTAAAACTTTCAAGAGACCCCATTTCACCCAGAGAAAGTTACCATGGAAAACAAATACCACCAACACCTCCTCATTCTAAGCCCAGTATCTGAACCTGAGATATTGAGAGTGGGCTTTTGTAAAATGGCAAAACAGAATCAAAGAGTGGAGAGAGGAAAATGAAAATGATCTGGGTCTGGAAGGTACAGCGATCAAGGAGAAAGGCCACTGCGCCTGCTGGGGACTGAAAGGCTGAGCAGGCTAGTACCCTGCACACGCCAGGGGCAGACAGGCTGGCACCACGGTCCATGGCGCCACAGCCATGGGACGATCCCTGAGCTCCTAAGGAGCCAAAGGACTGGAGCAGTGAGGACCTGTCGGAGCCCACGGGGGAGGCGCCTCTCCCTCAGGCACAGCTCTCCTTCCATATACACCTGAGCGTGCCATGGGCAAGCATGCGCATCATTCATGAGCCAAGGCAACTCAGACTAACCAAGGGTGTGGGCTCCAATATCCATTTTACATTATTTGCTGGTTCTTAATTCTGGTAATAATTTAAAATAAGCCTCATGAGTGTTTGAACACATACATTTCACCAAGTAGTGGTCCCAAACAGATCATAAACTCACCAGTGATCTGCAAGTTTAACGCAGCTGAAGCATCTGCATTTTTCACTTCTCTTTTCATGCTGCACAAGAGCGACTTTAAGCTACTATTCTCCTCCAAAGATCTGTCTAAATGTTGCCTCAAGTCATCCTAAGGTCACAGAACAATACATTTTAAAATGACAAATCAATTTCAACAAGATGCACATAGAAAATTAAATAAAATCCTTTGAAATAACCAGATAGTAGTTTCCTTTTACGTATCAGAATTCAGAATCAGTGTGAAAAGCTGTACAGTCACTTGTCACATAACAGAGATATGTTCTGAGAAATGCGTAATTTCATCATTTTGTGTACACAAAGCTAGATGGTACAGCCCACTGTACACTGGCTACAAGCCTGTACAGCATGTTACTGTACTGGATAATGCAGGCAACTGTAACATATGGTAAGTATTTGTGGGTCTAAACATACCTAAACACAAAAAAGGTCCAGTAAAATAAGGTATAAAAGAGAAAACATGGGCCCTAGCTGGTTTGGCTCGGTGCACCAAAGGGTCCCAGTTCAATTCCAGTCAAGGGCACATGCCCAGGATTGTGGGTTCGATCCCCAGTGGGGGGCATGGAGGAGGCAGCCAATCAATGAGTCTCTCTTATCATTGATGTGTCTGTCTCTCTCTCCCTCTCCCTGCCTCTCTGAAATCAATAAAAATATATTTTTAAAAAAAGAGAAAACATGGTATGCATGTGTAGGGCACTTACCATGAACCGAGCCTGCAGGACTGGAAGTTGCTGTGGTGAGTCAGTGAGTGAGTGGTTAGTGATGGCCTAAGACATTATTGTGCACAACTGTAGACTTTATAAACACAGTACATTAGGCTACACTAATTTACAAAAATACTTTTCCTTAAATAGTATATTAACCTTAACTTACTATAACTTTCTTACTTTATAAACTTAAATTTTTTAAAACTTTTTTACTCATAATAACTTAGCTTAAAACACAAACACACTATACAGCTGTATAAAAATGTTTTTTTAATATCCTTATTCTATAGATCTTTTTGCAAAAAATGTTTTGTTTTTTTATTTATTAATCTTTTTTGTTAAAAACTGTGACACAAACTCACACATTAGGCCCACTCAGGGACAGGATCACCAGTATCACTGTTGTCCACCTCCACATCTTGTCCCACAAGGTCTGCAGGGAAATAACTGGCATGGAGCTGTCATGTCCTGTGATAACAATGCCTTCTTCTGGAACTCCTCCTGAAGGACCTGCCTGAGGCTCTACTTGAGGACATCACTCTTTGTAGAAGTATGACCATGGTGGTTTGCTCAGCCTGCTTCCTTTTTCCATCATAATTTGCTTATATGCAGACAATGCACCACGAGCATTCTATTAATGAACAAGTTTTGGTGTTGAGGCCCATGTTTTCTAACCTTTTAAGGAGCTTGTTGAGGTCTGCAAAAGCTTCTGCTTAACCCTGCACTGTGAATTTTCTTGGGGGTTCTTCATCTTCTGCAGCTTCCTTTTCTCTTGCTTCTTCTTCAGCTATGCATTCCTGTTCTTGTTCCAACAACTCCTCAGTAGTCGGTGCCACAGCACCACCTTTAGGAGCTCCCCAATGTCATCCGCAGGCACACCCTGGTTAAAGCCGTTGCCCATATCACCACAGCCCTGGTGATTTTTACAACTTTTGTGCTATGATGTCAGGGCAACTATGACATCACTAGGTGATAGGAACTTGTCAGCTTCATTATAATCTTATGGAATCACTGTCATATGTGCAGTCTGGCATTGACTGAAATGTTGTTGTGTGGCACATGACTGTAAGCATGCATCTTCCCTGTCAGCAGGCTGAGGCTGTGTCCTTCAGAGAGTACAGGAAAAGGGGTAGTCCAGCTTACAAGGGCGCACCCACCTTCCCATGTTCGCTGGTGAGGGGTGTGCTTCAACAGGAGCCACAGCGCTGGTGCTGAGGGGAACAGATGTAGTGGCTGGCTCCTCAAGCCCTACCTCCTCCAAGAAGACCCCATGGTCGCCACAGCAAAAGTACAGGCAGAACCCAGGCCTTTATGGTCCACCTGGGCAGGTAGCCTCCAACTTTTTACTATCCCATATAGAAGTGAGATCATGCAGTTCGCTCTGCCTGTCTTTCTTCACTTAACCCGAGGTCCATCCATGTTGTTGCAAATGGCAGGATTTCTTTTTAAAAAGGCTGAATTCATGTTGTAGATACATAAGTTCTTTATCTACCTATTTTGTGGAGAAGTTATTTTTCTTAATCATGAATTAACGTTCAACTTTGTCAAATGCTTTTTCTACATCCATTGAGATGACTGTGTGGTTTTTATCCTTCAGTCTGTTAATGTGGTATGTTAATTTGCATATGTTGAACCAGCCTTGCATTCCAGGGGAAAATCCCTTTTGATCATGATGAATAATCTTCTTGATGAATTCAGTTCTCTAGCATTTTATTGAGGGTTTTACACTTGTGTTCATCAAACATACTGGTCTGTAGTTTTCTTTCTTGTGGTGTCTGTCTGGCTTTGAAATCAGGTGATGCTGCTTCATAAAATGATTTTGAGAGTTTTAGCTCTACTTCTATTTTTTGGAAGAGTTTAAGAAGATTCAGTATTAATTCTTCTTTCAATGTTTGGTAGAACTTGGCCGTGAGGCCATCTGGTCCAGGGCTTTTCTTCTTTGGGAGCTTTTTGATTACTGCTCAATCTCCTTATTTGTTATTGGTCTGTTCGGGTTTTATTTCTTCTTGATATAATCGTGGTAGGTTGCATGTTTCTAGGAATTTATCCATCTCTTCTAGGTTACTTAATGTGTTTGCATATAATCATTCATAATAGTCCTTTCTGATTTTTACTTATTTCTGAGGCATATATTGTAATGTCTCCTCTTTCGTTTCTGATTTTGATTCTTCTCTTTTACTTTTCTTAGTCTAGCTAGGGGTTTGTTGATTTTGTATATATATTTTTTCAAAAACCCAACTCAGTTTTGTTGATTTTTTCTATTGCTTTTCTATTTGCTATTTCTGCTCTGATCTTTACTTTCTTCCTTCTGTCAACTTTGGGTTTACTTTGTTTTTCTTTTCTAGTTCCATAAGGTTTAAATTTAGGTTGTAAATTTGAGATCTTTCTTCTTTTTTAATGTAGATATTTATGTGTGATGGTCTTATGGTGAGGTTACAAAGGACAAGGGCATCCCTAACCGCCAGGAGTCTTAGGCTCAGCTAGTAGGCCCAGCTGTGCTGGCTCTGTTTCCCTTTGGTGCCACCTAGTGGTGGAAATTCCCTCAAGTCCAAAAGGACACCTGGGGTCCTATGACTATTGCAAGCGGGACAGGAGCAGGAACCCTAGGATCACACAGCTAACTGGAACTCTCTCCTCAGAGGTCTGGGGAACCTGGGCCAGGGAACATGGGGCCACAAACCCCCCACTTTAAGCCCAGCTTCATCTTCTCTTGTCTCTCCCACTCTCCCTCTCTCAGAAGAGAAGGCAACCAGTCAAAAGAGGTAGAGCTGGGAGAAGTGGCAATGCTTCCATCTGCAAATTGCTGTTGCTGTGGGGTCTGGGAGTGATACAAAGTCAGGCCAGAGTCCCCCCAGGTGGGAAAAGCCTGTGGGGAGGGTTTGTGATCCTGAAAGGGAAGAGGAACCCCAGTGCTGTAGCCCGGCAGCAGCTAAGGGAAAGTGCAGAATGAAGAATCTCCCCTCATTCTGTGAAGTCAAAACAATGTTTTTACCCCATCTGTGAAAAGGAAATGCAAGGGGTGTGGCTCACCATCTCTTTCCGAGTATTATTGAGCTCTGACACAACCTCACTCATCTTCTCATTATATTGCTGCTGTTGTTCAACAAGGTGACTTTGTAAAGATTTATTTTCAAGAGTCAGGTAGTTAATTTCTTCACTCGTAGTTGAACTGTCCTGAGTTGCTGTAAAATCTTGAACAGATGACAAAACATGTCTTGCCTGAGCTAGAAGTAAAAATCAAGTATTATTATTGCATTTATGCCAAAAGAATGTGTAAACAAAACATGTTTAATACATTTTGAATAACACATACTACATGCCTTAAAAACACAGACAGGCATGGGGACTGGCAAAGGGACGAAGGTACCACTGACATTACCTTCACTCAGGCTGTTTTACATCCAGTCAAGCATGAGAGGCAGAAAAGAGCAGAGAAAAGTTTTGTTCTTGAGAAAAGGTACCCCTCAGGAGAAGGCTACCACTAGGATGATTGGGCCGAATGCCCTAGCAGCCCACCACACTCTCTTCAACAGCCCTGCTGCTACCCCGAGAGGGTATAGATTTATGGGATCAGCATTCTTGGGGCATCCTGATTCTGAAATGCTCACGAGTCTCTGGTGTGGCTAGGATGGCAGCTTCAAGCAGGGCCCAGGGTCTCCCTGAAAGGAGAGAGCTGGCAGGTCCCCACTCCCACTGGGACACTGAACATTGCACCGCAGACTGAGGAGGAGAGAGGTGTCTCACTGAGGATGCAGCACCCTGTTTCACATTCTGACTCTGGGTGACGGGTCCCCAATGTGCTCTTGTACCCAGGCATCAGATGGAAGCAAACCAAAGTCCTCTCAGGGGAGGGCCATCCTCCTGGACCTCAGTCATTTCCATCAAAGTTTAATTTCCACCAAAATCTTGGCAAATACCAGTTCGAAGAAGACAGTAGCAGCTTTTTAACCTCTCCAAATCCCCACGTGAAAACAAAGCCACAGAGCCAAATACCTGCGAATGGCACTTCCAACAAAACCAGGCAACGAGGCATCTCCCCAAACACCAGAGTCAGTGGCTGGGAAAACCAAAAGCTACACCTTAGGGGAGCCCCCAGTTTCTGAGAGGACACTGTCAGGGTGCTCCCTGCAGTGCAGCAGCCACAGTGACAGCTGATGAGGAGGGTGCAGCATGTGAGGAACCCAGAACCCCATGGGGAAACAAGTACCCACTAACACAATGCTACCCAATGGGCTGATTGTCCCTTCCCAACTCACCCAAGAACACCTCGTTGCTATGCAGGGACTTGCAGCCACTCCAGTGCCTGTCCACCAGGTCGAGGAGTGATTCTAGGAGCGCCACCCCCATGGTGGCCTTCCCAGGTGGCACAGCTGAGAGGAGTTTGGGAGACACCTGCAATGGAAACAAAACCATGACACAGGATTTCAGTTCCTGAAACACAAGGCTCCTAACACCATATGCCAAGGGAGCACTGCTCGGCCCAAGTTCACACCAGGGGCGGGACAGCCCATCTCTCTCTATAAAAGCCCAAGTGACTGTTAAGACTGAACGACTAGAATGACCAGAACGACCAGAACAACCGGTTGACCAGTCGCTGTGACATGCACTGACCACCAGGGGCAGATGCTCAATACAGGAGCTGCCCCCTGGTGGTCAGTGAGCTCCCACAGCCAACTCCCATGGCCCTTCCCCCGGGCCAGGTGGCCCTCCTGATAGGCCCCAATTGGGAGGGCCAGTCAGCCAACCTCCCAAGGTCCCTCCCCGCAGCTGGCTGACCCCCCAATAGGCCTCGATTGACGGCCAGGCCAAGGGACCCCACCTATGCATGAATTCATGCACCAGACCTCTAGTATCCTATAACTGGTCAGCATGGTAGCACTAAGGCCTGGCACCTTGCTGCCTAGAACTGAGGCTGAGACCAGCCCCATGAGTGTTCGGCACAAACACCTCCATCAGAAGCTGAATCTGGACACTGGGCCAGGGTGACAGGCATGAGTACAGAGCCAGGGTCTTCAGGGTGGACACAGCGCAGTCACACACATGAGGAGCACGGTCGTGCCCTTTCCATAAGGACGACCACCATGAGGTCATAGCTGAGCCGAGAGGAGAGGGAGCCCTGGGCAGCACCCGCTCCTATAAAGTCCCAGCCCCACAGCGAGTATGCAAGTCTGTGCCACAGCTCTGCTCCTGGTGCTGTCCCCTGGCAGACAGGAAAGGCCTGAACACATCCCATTTTCCTTCCTTCCCTCAACCCAGGCAGTGAGATAGTGAGAGACTGCATGTAAGAATGGATGACAGCAGGCCCTCTGTAAAAGCACACTCTGACCCACAGCCTGCAGTGACCAGCTGGGAAGCCAGCCTGCCATGTCTGGGTCCCAATGCATGGAAGCACATTTCTAGCAAAACAGAGAGGTGACAAACACCAAGGAAAAGTGCATTTAAGAGCTTTATTTATCTTGGGATCACAGTTAATGCTGAAAATAGAAGACATGGTGTTATCAAAGACAGCAGCCCCTCAACTAGAACATCCAGTCACCCTCAGCTCTCTGCTCACCTCCCTGGCACCACTCGTGCTGTGGGGCCTCTGCTCTTCAGACTCAGACGCTTCCAGCTGAGAACAGGTCCTCTCGCTCCTGCTCTGGGTCCTCTCGCTCCTGCTCTCAGAGCCGTTCTGCCTGCTCAGACTATCCTCCAGGCAGCTGAGACATTCCTGGTCTGCAGGCGCCTGGAATCTCCCTCCAGGCATTCTCCGCTTCCTGTACTTTTCAAGACCAGGCAAAGGATTTAACACCTTTTGTGTTGACAAACTAGTTGTCTGAGAAGTGGAGGTTGAGTTCTCAACGTCTATGCAGTCTATAACAGAGGGGAGAACACAACCCTCATCAGACCAAGTTCTCTGGGCACAGGGGTACCTGTGCACGCACTGTGTGTATGCATGTGTGCACATACGGAAAATCCACCAGAGTGACAAGACTGAAGTAATAACTTTAACAAATTAATTGACAGATGATTATATGTTTTCTTGCCAGAATTATGTATAACAAAGATGAGTAAAAACCTAAAATTTTGGAAATTAGAAGAGGACTCAACAATTTGTTTTTAGGAAAGTCTGTTAACTTTAGTACCTGGGACCCTCCTACCTCAGGGGACATGGCCTCACATCTGCTGACAAAGAGAGTGTGTGCGTACATACATAAGGACACACATACATCTATACATGCACACATGTACATGCACACACACAAACATGCACATACACATGTACACAGGGTGGAGCAAGTGTACAACAGAGCAGATGTGGTCAGTGCTGACTTCGGGGGTCTGGATGATGTAGATATGAAACTTCCTTATTCTGCCGTGGCAGCCTTTCTGTGTTCACTCTGGGAATTCACAAGGACTACAGGTCAATAAAGAGGTCTAAAGGTCAAGCACATGCACCTTGTGAACAAAGGTGAAATGATGAATTCTGACCATCAACAGAAATGGAGGTCGTGTGCACCCATACACCACAGCATCATTATGAAGCCTCAGGATATAGGGTAAAAGCAACCAGGACAATGAAAATAGAGACTATAATAGGGTGCGTGTTACCTGGACTCAGCACTACACCCTGCTCTGCAGTGGCCACAGGCAACCGGGGCAGGTCATCTCCACAACCCACCCCAACTCTGAAGAACTCACCTGAACAAGCCTCAGGAAGGTGCTAGGTTCACTCATATTGGGAAGTTTTCTGACATTTTTGTCACATGTGTGCACACAACACTCTCAATTAACTTGTTAATTTTCTTCATCATTAATTTTTAAAATACAGCTATTGTCATAACTTGGGCCCGTGCAGTTATAAGAAATTGTACATGTGTGAGTGAGAGAGAGGGAGAGGGAGAAAAAGTATGTGTGTATGGTGTGTGCGTGCGTGTGTGTGTGTGTGTGTAGAGAAAAGCAACAACGAACTCACAAACTAGGAATCTGAAATATGAATATTCTAAATTTTTTTATCCTTACCCAAGGATATGTTTCCATTGATTTTTGAGAAGGAAGGGGGAGAGAGAGAGAGAAGGGGTGGAATGGGGAGGCGGGGGAGAAATATTGATGCAAGAAACATCGATCAGTTGTCTCTCACATGCACCCTGATGGGGAATTGTAGGAGGGGACACTCCAACCAACTGAACCATCCGGCCAGGGTGGTTGTATTCTAAATTTCAATGTATAAGGTTCTTTCCTAAGACATTTTAGAAAGTTCCACAAACAAATAAAGAAAGAGAATAGGAGAAATAGACATGATTAAGAAGGAGTCAACGGCGGTTGTTGCGTGAGATTACCTGGGTGAGGGAGGAAGTGCACATGATGTCCGAAGGAGCAGCAGGCCTCGGGCTGGTCTCCCTGCTGGGGTGGGAGCTCTCCACAGTACTGGTTCTGAAGCCTCTTTTCTGGACAACATCCTCTGGAGCTGCTTTTTCTCTTCTCGTGGCCCTTCTTTATGGAGTCCCCACACTGGTGCTGGACTAAGTGAGGACTCAATAGATGTCTGGATTCTATTTTATTAAAGAACATTTTAAAAGTTTTAGTTCATTAAAAATTACATTTTAAGCTTCTGGCAGTGTATTATATCTATTAAGTGTATCAATTAAATAAGAAAAAGATGACTGAGTGGGTTAATAATGCAACCACCAAACCTGTAGTGAGTCTAACAGTCACTGCAAACAGTGCTAACAGGAGTCAAGGTAGTGCAGCATCGATACAAAGACAGACATGATGACAGATAAAACAGCATCCAGAACCCAGAGAGAGACTCAGGTTAACGGAATTAACAAATGTGCCAGGGTTATTAAATGAGACAAAAGACAGTCGTTTCAACAAATGGCACTAGCACAACTGGATATATGGGGTGAGGGTGCGGGGGAGACAACCGGACCCATTGCTCACCACGGTCACAAAGCCACTCTAGGTGTGGAGGAGCACAGACCTGAACACGGGACCTGAGGACACCTACACGTCCACAGGAGAAAATCTCCACGAGCATGGAACAAAGATTTTTTTTTTCAGGGCAACAGAAAAAGCACAAATCATATAAAGAAAAAACTGATAAACTGGACTTTACTGAAATACAAATTAAAACCACAATTAAATATTAGTATTTACTCAGAAGAACAGCCAGAAGAAAAAAGACTGAAAATCTAAGTGCTGGCGAGGATACCCAAAGAGCAGATGTCTTTGTGCCAGCAGGTGAATCCTGGGATTTCCGCCCAAACTTACACCTCAGCCTGTTGTCGTCTTCATGAAAAGCTCTGAGAAACTCATAATGGAGGAAGAAATGGTGCTAAAGCTTCTATAAAAGTCCAAGTGGGAAAGAGGCCCTGGCACAGTAATGACATTCACACATGCACTGGAAGGCTTCACAATGAGCTTGCCAGGTTTAAAGTTCTAACCCGTCAGCCCGAGCTCTAAGAGCTCCCTGACGCTAAGTGAATGCCCCCTTGTGGCTGACACAGACGCCTGTTCCATTAGCCACCGGACATGCTATCTTCTTGCCCACTTGGACCTTTTACCTCCTCCCTACAATTGGAATTGATCTGAGGAAGAATACAATTTAAACCACCATGTAGTATATGACTATACTCGACTTAAATACATGACTTTTTTCTTTTATAATTCTGTAATCCAAATTACTGATATTTACAAGTTCGCAGGACTTCATGAAGGTTATACATTTAAAGGTAAGCTTCCTAAAGAGTACAACTGTGCCCAGAGCAAGCTGGGCCCTCTGGGCTTCGGGTGGAGCAGTGTACCTTGGGAACTATGGAAGTCATCCTCTTGCTCCTTCTGGCTGGAACTTGTACTCCTAGGAGGGTTGCTCAAGTCCCACTCACACTCGGCAATGAGGTTCAGGACGGCCTCGTCATCCGCATCCATGACTAAGCTCTTCTTGGCTGAGGGGTCAGGGCACTTAACTCTGGAGCGGTGCTGCCTGCAAAGAAAAGCCACCGCAGTGCTGTCACTCCAACCCGAGCAGACCCTGTGTGGGGACACGAGTGCGAAGAGCTCTTGGGAAGAGCAGTTGGTGTAACTGCAGGAAATGGCTCTTGTGCCTCTACTAAAGTGAGGTCAAGGAGGGACCCAGCAGGACCACTGGTGATGGAAAGCAAGGGTGTATGATGTCATCGCACCATCCAGCATGTGCAGGGTCCCACTAGGGTTTGTTCAAGAACAAAAGTATGGTGTCAGATGTGTGTGAGATTTATTGGGATGATCACTCAGTAAGTTATGTAATGTCTAATCACTGGGATGTATATCTGAAACTAAAATAATAATGTAGATCAACAGTAATAAAAAATAATAAAGTGTTAGAAAAAGAAGGAAATAAATAAGCAAGAATTCTTTTTTGTTGGGGTGGAGAGATCATTTGATTCTTCCCCTAAAAGTTGGAAATAGAAAAAAATTTCATAAATTACTTTCAAATAAATTAATTTAATAAAAATATTAACTCTCCAGCTCTTTACAAAAAATGTTGGCTGACCTCTACATATAAGGGATTTATAAATAAGCTAAGGCATAAAATGCAAGAAGAAAAAAACCTATTAAAAACTTCAGACAAAACAAAATGGTGTACAAGGAGTGAATAATCCTAGCACATTATAAGAAACATGAACAGTCTATTGACTTTTGCCTTTAGAATCAACCATACACAAAGCATGAAGACTCTTTATGGCTTTAGAACATTTAAATACTATCGACCCTGACAATCTAAAATTAAACATAAAGATGCAGATGGCAGGAGGGGGGAGGCACAGACGGGCACAGATGGGCATGTGCTCCCACAGCCCCACCGGAGCGGAGCCTTGAGCACTGGCCACAGGGCACTGAGCAGAGAATACAGGAGGGCATAGTCCACAAACTGTCACCACGGGGTGAGGAGGGGCTATGGCAGCTGTGAGGTCCTGCTTCAAGTGTGCACACCCAAAAATGGCAACTAATGTGTATTGTCCGGGGACGAGGAAGGAAGCAGAGACAATCACAGAAGTGAATGGAAGTGGCTGCTCTGAGGAGTGGGCCGGGCAGTGGAGAAAGGGAACTGTTGCTTCTCATCATAAGTCTTCTGTGCTATTTATTTTACATGTATTAGTTTAATAAACATCTTAACATTAAAAAATAATTTATAGAAAATGTGGACAACAGAGAGAGAGACTCCATCCCACTGTCTCCTTGAGTCCCAGCTGGTATCCGGGCATTTTTCCTTTTCCTGAATGTCTGCTCTTTAAGTGGCGATCAGAGCACAAAAACATTTACATGTGTGAGTTAATACAGAGCTTTATATCCTTTACTCAGTCATTCTATGAATAAATAAGCCTGAGCACCTTCTTTCCACATTTGATCACCACTCGTGTCCATACCTTCCAACTCTGCAAACAGCTGGAAAGCTTTGTGTGGAGTCGAGTGATTCCTCTGAAGCAAAATGCAACTGGGATGCTTTCCGCTCGCTCTCTCTCACGGGACGGTCATCTAGAGAGAAATGCCAGAGAAACTAGCAAGCACCACCATGAAGCAGGTGCACCTTCTGGCACCCCATCCCGCCCTGCAGAGCACCACACATGACCAGGCTGCCCCCACTTGTTCCGGGCCTTCTGTCCCCTCGGGGCTGACCCCGGCACATCGTCCCCCATAAGCCCGAGTAGACCCAGTAAAGGGATGCTGGGCTCTGGTGGCTACACGCGGTTTCTCAGGGATGCTGGGTGCTGATTCCAAGAGGGCTGCCCTGCTCCCACAAAGCTCACTCCTCAGACACTGCTTTGGAGGCAGCCTACGGCCGCAGGAAAAAAATTACACAGCCAAGTTCACACACGCACATCCTCCTGGGCTCCCTCCCATCAAAGTACATTTTGGATGCTGCACGAGGTTCTTGAACCGCACTGAGCGCACTAAGAATCTCTGGTGTGCGGTTTCTGAACACACTGGAGAGGAGACAGCCTAGCTGTGTGTTTGGATCCTCAGGACTGGGAAACAGAGAGACAAGTGTAAACTGTCCCCACATGTGCTCTGGCCTGAGGCCTCTGCTCCGCAACTCCCAGGCCTGCGATGACTTTGAGTTTCAATTATGTTCCTTTTTCATGTCTGAAAATATCTTTCCCACGTGGCAAGACTCTCATCTCCCTTCTCTATACTAACATTATACAATTCTGAACCTAAAACTTTTATGACAAATGATTTAAGACTGAAGATTGCAAAAATTTCCCATAATAAGAATTGTAACGCTTCTGAAAAAAAGCCAAATTCAACTATTTATAAGTTACTTAAAGTCAAAAGTTAGAACAGAAGCACTTATTCCTCCCAAATATCTAAAAACTAAAATGAAACATTGAAATTCTAAATAGGTTTGACCCTTTGGGGGTCAATTATTCATACCCACAGCCCAGCCCTGCTCCCAGGCCCAGGCCGTGCAGAGAGGGGACTAGGGGATAAGCTGACGTGCACGTGCTGTTGAGATGTGCATACATTCACTCACAGCCAAGAGATGCAGAACATGGGTTTCTACAGACACTGGTTGGAAGTGACAGGACAGTGGCAGTGGTCTGCCTGCAGCTCAGTATTTACCACAGGGATAGTGGTAGAGCAACGTCTTCCCTGACAAACATGCTGGTCTGATGTGGGTCTCACTTTGGTGTCATTAGGTCAGAATCCAGGAGATGGAGATGCCTCAAATGCATCCCCAGCCTCGCCGAGAAGTGAATGGGCCTGCACATTGAGGACATGCTGTGATCAATGGGGCACGTGACCACACCCTTCAATCAGATATTCCTGCACCACAGCTACCCAGCACTTACCACTGCCTTTCACACAAGAGACTAAGGGTGTGAGGCCCCCTCCCTCCCTTCCCCGTGACCTGCATGTCAGTGCATCCTGGACGCATGCTCCAGCTCTCCCCGCTTGAAGTGCGACGCGAGGGAGCATCAGAAGCGCCAGTGGCCTCACTGCTCAGGGCAAAGACCCCTCCTGGTAGGTGGTGAGGCAGGTGGGAAGGCATTGATGTGGCTTCCCTAGGTGTGATCCTCCCAAATGGACTTGTCCAGTTGGCAACCTGCAAGCTCTGCCTGTGAGGCTGTCACAGAGATCCATTTTTTTAGAGACATGGGTTAATAAGCCTAAATGGTGGCAGTACCTGCCAACAGAACACCCTCTCTCATCCCGGTCACCTGGGGGAGGGTGCGGCACAATGTATTTCTCCAGGTAGATGCAAAGCCAGTAGAATCCAGCTGTCCACCTGGGCCTGAGACGATGCCCAGGGGCCATGCATGGAAACAGGGCACCAGAAGTTCAGGAACAGGCCCAAGTCAAACAGCTAGACAGCGAAGCCAGAATGAGTCTGAGCAGTACAGCCCATGCCGGTGCTCCTGGTGTCCCGGCAATTATCTCTGGCCATGGGGCTCCCTGGCACCTTCCCAGGCGGCTCTCCTACAAGACCCATCCTGTAATACAGGGACTCATGCCATCAGAGTAGAAAGTAACTTCCCTTTTCAGGGAGATCAACAGTGCGATGGATCTGAGAGTACCAAACACCAGTCAGGGCTCTACTGAGCAGGGGTGTGAGCACACCACACCTACCCAGCTGCCTGAGCTTCGGGAGCATGTGCACAACAAAGAGGCGGTAATCAGACTCATTCTTCACCACTGGGTTCAGTCGGAAGTCCACGTCCTTGAGCTCAGTCAAGCAGTGGAGCCGGAACACTTCTGCTAGCGAGGAAATGCAGTTGTAGTAGAGATTGAGGCTTTCCAATGCAACCAGGTACTGAATGCCCTGTTAACAGGACACAATGCTGAATGAGTTTATGCTTTTTAAAAATAAACACATAGAAAAATGGGCCACCAGTAGGAAGTGATCAACCAACTTAATAAATGAACTTATAATGTTATAGGAAGAACATAAAGATGAAATGTGTTCTTGTCTATAAATTTCTGTCCTGCACACAGTGATATGACTGTTCAGGGAGGTTCGCAACAGTTGTGACTACTAAGGACAGCTGGCAGGTACCACGCTAAGTGATTTACACAAATAACTTCATCCCATTGCACACAACCCTACAGGGTAAGCCCTACTACTGCTCCCATTTCACAGATTAGAAAACTGAGGATTGGAGGCTGAAAGATGAGCCAGCACTGGGTGCAACCTGGATTGTAACTCGCCTAACTCTGAGCAGACTCCTGACCCCCATGTCAGGGGCGCTGAAAGTACCATGATCCAGGGCAGTGATGTCCTGCCTTTCTTTCAGGCAAGAACCCCTCTCTATATACACCATTCGCCATCACCTGGGTAATTTCTCACTCACTCATCAGGAGTGAACCCCTGCTAGTTCAGACACCCTGCAGCGAGACTGCACTAGTGGCCCTGCCATTCAAAGGCCTGCAGCCACCGAGAGGCAGACTATAAACAGAGGTGCAGTGCAGAAAGTGGCTGAAGAAAAACACAGCTGATACAGGGATGTAGAGTGATGTGCACACACACATAAATCTTTTGGGCTTTATTTTATTCCTTTAAATATACAACGGTCTTCATCAGAGAGTTACAACTTTTGGCTGGCAAAGTAGTAAAGTAATAATGCGATGCATAAGAAATCTAGTTCATAGTAAACACAAGAAAAACAACCGCACACTTAAATCATTGTTAAGTATACAATTTACAAGTATTATAGACATATGTATAAAACATTGCATTTTTAATTATAAATATAGTTTCCATGGCTATTAATAGGAATAAATTTTCCTTTAAAAAACAAACTTCGCCCCACTAGAGTGGCTCAGATGGTTTAACATCATCCCATGCACCGAAAGGTTGCCGGTTCGATTCCCGGTCAAAGCAAATACCTGGATTGCAGGTTTAATGCCCAGTCCAGGAGCATACGGAGGGCAACTGACCAATGTTTCTCTTTCACATCGATGTTTCTTTTTCTCTCTCTCTCCTTCCTCCTCCTTAAAAAAAATAAAAAATAAAAAAGACGACACAAACCTAAAACTTACCTCCAGACTAACCAAGGAGTTGCGTGAGAGATCTAAAGATTTTAGACCTGTTAAACTCATCAAAGAATTTCCTAGGTGAGTAATCTTTTCTTGGTAAGTTCCAGGAATAGATAATGATTGAAGTTCAGCTAAGAAAAGAAAATTGTGAGATTTTAACATTATTTTTTAATTGAAAATAAATCATCATAAAAGCGAGATATCATAATCTCAAAAACAAGAATTGCATATAAAGTTTCAGCTTATGTTCCCCACTAAAAACGCTACACAAAAAGATATGCTCAGCCCGGCTGGCATAGCTCAGTGGGTGAGCATCACCCTGTGGGCCAGGAACCAGGAGGTCACGGTTCGATTCCCAACAGGGCACATACCCTGTTGTGGGTTTGATACCCAGTATGAGGCGAGCAGGAGACAGGTGATCAATGATCCTCTCTCACCAATGATTCTCCCTCTCTCTCACCAGAGATGTTTCTATCACACCCTCCCTCTCCCTCCATCTCTGAAACCAATAAAAAAAATATTTTAAAAAAAGATATGCTCAGAAATATAAAAGACAAATCAAAATAGAAAACTAAAAATATTCAAGTAAACCACAGGGAAAGCAGGAAAAGGGAAACAACACAAGAAAAACAAAGAGAACAAACAGAAAACAAATAATAAAATGGCATAGGTAAGCCCGGCTCTAGTGATAATTACATTAAGTGTAAATGGTCTAAACACACAATAAAAGACAGAGATTGTCAGAGTGCATTAAAATGAATGAACTGTTCACTATCTACAAGAAACTAATTTCAAGTAAAACGATATAGGAAGGTTAAAAGATAAAATAGTAAATAGATGGGGAAAGATATCCCTGCAAACACCAAAGTACAGCTGGAGTGGCTACACTAACATCATATAAAGTGGATGTCTCAACAAAGAAAATTATCGGGGCACGATGTCTCGACTAAGTATTAGCTACAAGAGTCACTCCAACAAGAAGACATACAAATCCTCAATAGTCTGCAATAAGTAGCACGGCTTCAACACACACGGAGTGAAAGGAGAAACAGGCAAATCTACAATTACAG